AGTTGATTCTGTATTTCCAGTATTTCCGGCCTAGCTCATTCTCATTTGGGTCCAGGATGATTTGTCCGCCCCCCCCCCCCCCCCCCCCNNCCCCCCCCCCCCCCCGCCCCCACCCAACATTCGCCTCTCCGTTCTTGTGAACTGTCCCGAGCTTCCTATTGTTTATCGACTGTCGGATTGTCGTCATTTGGTCATTTGAGGTGAGCGCACTTGATTCACTTGCTTGTCAGCGTGAACGGATGGGGAAATCAAAGTCCAGCCGCTTCAGCCGGCCCGAATTATTTTGGGCTTGCAGCCATGAGCGTAGCAAGGGAGAGATTTTGGCCATGATTGACCCGGGGTTGAAGTGAAGCGCCCTTACTCCAAGATGCCAAAATGGGTGGTGAACTTCTCTTGATCTCTGCTTCAGGCCTGCAAAGGTCAAGACCAAGTGAGAAGCCAGTCACAAACCCGAGAAATGTTTCAAGCAGACTGCTCCTCAGAGAACCAGGAGACTGGCCAACGACGCCGCCCCATAGGCTTTTTGATGAGGGCGGCGTCATGATGCGCGCCTGTCTGTGAATGTTCTACATACTCCGCAGACCAGACACTCCATGGTTCTCTGCTGTAGTAAAGTAGGAAGGCTTATCCGCTCTCCCTGATATTTCGCAATTCATATCGGGTAATTTGCATTGCGCACGGCCAACATGTGCAATCAAAGGGATGGTCCTAATCAGAGTAGCAATCAACGGAATTGTCGTAACTCAGTGTAATGCGCAGCCTCCTAGAAATTCTTCAAGAAATTTTCACAAAATCACAAAACTATTCTCTTGAATATCCGTTCTGGTCAAATACCAGGGGAGCCCTCGCCGCCTCCAACAGGAGCCGGCTGAGATGCCGAAGCTAGCGACGCATCCCTCTGTCCAAAGGGTTTTTCTTGAAGCCCAGGCGCATAATGGAGAATGATGAAGGAGATCACGTGGTTTCTCTACGTCAGCCAAATATGATGCAAAAAGATGAGGATGCGATTGTTTGAAACAGCGCGTACGGGCTATACATGCATGTATACTCGGTGGTATATAGAGATTCTTTAGCGTCACGTGGGATTTCAGGTTCCGGGTGCTAGCACAAGGAATAAGGTATATGAAGTGTAAGGTTGCAGGTTTCAGGCATCATCGAGGAACTACTCGGTTTTCAAGGGCAATTTAGAGATGGTGCATATGAGAGCGAATATGAGAAGTCATATTTGGGTGTTCGAGATATACAGGTAGGGCTACATGAGAGTTGCATGAAAACATGTTGCTCCTGGACCCGCTACAGATGGAGACGATACAAGGTGTGGGGTTTTCTGGGCCGTTCACTTGACCATAGTCAGGATTCAATTGTAAACCCCCATACGCTGTTCATTTCTGTGAGAGCCCTGTATTCTATTCTAGCATGTCCGGGAGAAACTCATTCAACTGTAGCACTCCAAAACGTGGGCCCTGACAGCATACCTTTCTGTAAAATTGTGGGTTAGATTTGAAGAACTAACGCAGGGCCGGGGATGTTTGGAGGTACTCAGGATCATGGGGCCTTGTTTGTTGTCTTTTCAATACAGATGGTTGTAGATTTGTTTGAGGGATACTATGTCTGTGCTGTTGGCGTGGCTATTCAGAGGGTCATAATCTCTAGGGATTGTCGTAGAACACTAAACAGCACGGCCAGCTCAGAACCAAGCCCTGAACCAAAATGGAATGTGTAGCCCTATACCTAGCCCATGGTTCATGCCAAGCTGACCGCGACATAGCTCCAGCAATGGCAGAGGGCCGCCATCTGTATTCAGAGGATACTTGGACTGGCAACACGGTCAAAATGCTGATTAGCTACAACTTTACGATTTCAACTGCTGGGTAGTCATTGACTTTACGATTTCAACTGCTGGGTAGTCATTGTTGCCATGATTTCTTTACGCTGGTACCTTCCGAGCGAATCCAAGTATCTGTTTGGGAGAACTGACGGTTACGATTGAAGTGCAGAATGCTAGAGAACAACGGTTCGGTGGAATGTACGATCCGTCATCTCCCTTTGCGTATGCGAAGCTCATACGAAGAGACACTGATCAATTTTCCATTTTTCTGAGTCTCAACTTGCGCTGCAGCTTCTTGACGCCATAAGCAGGCTGTTGACCATTCAAACCTTTTCCGAAGATGTGCGTGAACTTTGAGAAATGAGGACATGACCCCCGGGCTGTTCTTATACGAAGAGCCTCAAACCCAAACGCCGATTCGCATGCCATATTCTATACCTCAGGTTTATCAACACCGTGATTCTGGTAAACAAGCTGTTTGCAGACTAGATCATCCCCCTCACAGCTTTGTAATCTCGAGAAGTAGCGCCCAAATAATCCCGACATGTCCAGACATGAGCATCAATCGAGTCTTGGCTACTGAATGCTGCACAGAGTGCCTGGCACAGACTTTGGCGCCTCCGCGCTCTCACTTCGCCTAAAAAGTGTCTGCCAAGTCCAGCATAGTTTCGGGGATGCCTGGGAGTTTTTTGTGGATACCTACAGTAAAATCAGTAAGGCTCTGAGTGTTGTGAGGAGTGTTACAGGTTACAACTTCGGAGCGCTGCACTTTGTGGAGACCTGTTGAGTTTTCCCGGAGTCAAGGCCACCAGGCCGAGAGGTTTCCTGGTCAGCTGCGTTGTGTTTGGTCGCGCGGGCAAGTTCACTCAAAAGTCAGTCTTGAATCGGATACAGGTGCCTGCTAGAAGCCAGAGTGAGAGACCTCAGTACATCGTGTGTTTTGAGTGTTCTGCATGTGGTGCGATGCTTGGAGCGCGAACGGAATGCCTACGATCGGAAGGCAGTTCCAACACGGACGCCTTGAGAATGCCCCTTCGAGCCTTCAATTTAGCTTACCACAGCGAACGCGAAAGCCCAAACGGCCCATGTCCACTGTCCACAACAATCACTTTGTCTGCTTTTCAGGCAAGCTTTTCAATGCTTCTCTTGTTGTAGTCTTCTTTGCAAATCCTCCTTCTAATTTGACTCCACCCCTCACCCGCTTGCCTTTAGTTCAGGCCTTAATGTAGAGTATGGTGAAGTCTAGCAAGAGAGCTCTTGGTCAAAATCTTGACATGATTGTGCGCTCTTGTCTTGCAGGCTTTCTGCCCAAGCCTGGCCGTGCAATGGAGACCAAGAACTTCACATTCAAGTAGAAAGCATAGCAAAATCATGCAGCAACAGGTTGCGCCTTCAAACTCCACATAGAACCTTGAACAAGTCTTTGCCCATCTAGTTTCCTAGTTGGTGTGTAGAAAAATATCTTTGCAACGACTTCAGATCCAAAAGCCCAACCCTGTGTTCGGATCCGGCCTTTCCTACCGCCACAGCCCCCCACCCCCTCTGCTGCAGCCCCCATACCCTCACCCACCCCTCCCCACTCACCCTGCAAAGCCATCATGGCGTCTTCTGAGCTCCTGGGCGCCCTCAACAGGCCCCTTTCCCCCTTGTTAGGCAGGTATGTGCTTAACTGGGTTTCAAGGACAGGTTCACAACCCGAGGAAGGAACAGGGGCAATGCAAGCGGGGACAGGACTGTCTTCACAGCTTACGGACTCGAAGTGATTACAGTTTACAGGAAGCACTGTAGGAACGACTTGAAGAAAATCCCTTGTCGAGGCGCAAGGAGATGGCTGAAGCCGCAGGTGCCGTCTTCGAGGTCCCTGGGCCGAGGGTGTAGGAGTTTAGGGGCTTAAGGGTTTCAGAGCTGACGGAATAAGGGTGCTTTCTGGGGAATGCATGAAGACTATGGAGGGAGTATGTGGACATGATTCTTGCGTGTGATCTGTTTCGGGGACGGTGCTATGATAGGATTTCGGCTGGTCTGGTGATGCGAATCCGACCCCCAGATTAAGTCATAATCAGATCTCGAGTCTAGAGGTCGGTGGTCCTGTGGTCAGGGCCTACTTTGTAGACGCAAGGGACATTGGGTCACATCACATAATCGCTAAACATGGTTCCTGCTACTCCCGCAGCTGGTGCATCAGTTCTAGAACCAAAGATTGTCTGTCATCAAAACACAAACGGGTGCTGCACTTTCTCCCCTTCGTTCGGAGCAGCTTCAGCCTGCGATGCGCGCCTTTACCGAGGGTTCGCCGCGAGCTTCCGCAGCCGATACAGCATGGGCCGGCTGCCTACTCACATTTACACTGGTCATGTGACAGATGCGCGCTGAAAGCATATATGTGAAAGGGTTGCGCAATTTGATTTGGGAGGGGGATCCTTAGCTTGGCAGTCTATGGCTAAGGCTGAGCAGGTGGACCTTCAATGCCAACCAAATGCCTGAAACTTTCCCCTACTCAAAAGATGTGGCGCTGCAGCTCCCAGGGAACGCAGGCCCGCAGGCCCGCAGATCTAGGCTCAAGGCCCCTGCCTAGGACACCTCACAGCTGCAACCCCCAAGGACCAGCACCACGAGACGCAGTTCACCCCGAAGGGCAAGCATCGGCTGCCATGCCCTCAGATGCCCTCGACACCGGGCTTGAATTTCTGTGCCTCTATGCAAGCAAGGGCTGTGGTTTACAAGTGCACCCTTGTCAGTGCATGGATGTCTGCGGCCATTTATTGCCCCATGCAATGCTCGAAAGTGATAACCATTTGCGGGGATTCGGTATGTATGGAGGACACCCTCTTTCTTGCTTTGCTGCCCAAAAGATTCGCTGCACGAATACAGAGAGCACCTTCACACATGGTCAGAGTCTCAGTTCAATGATTACTCATAGAAGAAGATCCGGAACTGCCAAGACGGGTTCAGACGCGCTGTGCAGCTGCTCTGTTGCAATCTTCTTGCAACTGACAACTAGATTGAGGTGCTACCGTCTCTAGTCGATGCTGCGTTTGCGTGTTTTCCTTGGGTGCTTACGTCTTCATCACGTGTCCTTTTTGCCAAATTTTTTCTAACACATACAAGCCAGACCTGGTTCTAGAAACTAGTGCTGATAAAAAAATCCTGCATGACCTTTTGCCAAGCTCCCATGGTTCCCAAGCTAGAGGGTGCGTAGGGTGATTTATGATTTGCAGTATCAGTGGTATCCGCCCTATAGCACGAAGCCCTTGATTGTATTTGTGCTGCATCACCAGGAGGATCATCAATATTTTTCGAGAGCTAGGGTATTAGCTTGTTTGACACGTTCTGAGGCGTGTAAAAGTTTCCGGGGCTCAGGGTTTGCTTATTGCGCGCACTGAGATCCGAAACCTCAAGCGCAAGCCCCTTAATCCCCAGACCAAAAGTCCGAAACCAGCAGCCCTAGCCCTAGATGTTTGCGCACCCGTCCGACCCAGCAATCATTTATTGAATAACGCCCCACATCGCCCAGGGGTGGACACAAGGGACCCATGATTTCTTAGGCCCGATGAAGGCAGAATGAAGCGGCTCGACCAGGCGCAGAATCGAAGCTCAGTGGAGTTGCTTTGCGTGGTCATGTCACAGGGGCTACAGTTACCGAAACAAGGATGATATGGGTGATAGCAGCAATTCCCATTTTGGAGAAACTCCCAAGTGCAAGAGCTGCTTGGGGTTGTGCGTAGTCAAATTCGGGTGATGCTAGACTTGTTTCTTGCTGAAGAGATCACAAGAACGGTTTTCTAAGCATGCGTGTTCGTTTTGTCATTGTGGCGTAGTTTCGTCTTGAGTTTCTTTTGTTGGAATATACACTTTTGGGCTATCTTGAAGTAATTACAGATCTGATGCCTAAAGGACACCAATAATTACATGTTATCCCCGATGGCTAAGTAATGCCCATATTGCCTCGTTGGGGCCCCAAGCCAGGCGGAGGAGGAATCCACTGGTACCATCACGCCCCCAGAAGAGAAATCGCCTCCTCCTGGCAAGGCAGGGATGATGTGGACCGCTGACTATGGTAGACCCCAGGTACTGCTACTGGTAAGGGCGGCTATTACCCCAATAATGCAGTATGGCATAAATCATATCGAAACTGGAGTTATGTACGGGTTTCTGGAGATTATGTAACCTAGAAGCCTACAGGATCACCAACCTAGTGGTTTTAAATGCTTTGTATAACTCTGGTATAGGGAACCTGAAATAGACCTCAACATGATGTTGGTTCTTGTTGCGGCCCCTTTACCGTCTTCTTACACTCAAACATAGAACCGCCATAGCAAGGTTGCAGTTTTTTTTGAGAAGTTTACGGCTAGTCCTAGCCTGTCAGTTTCCTCATGCTGGAATAAGGCAACCAAAAGTTCAGAATTCGTGCCTGTGTGTTAGCCGTGTGTGGAGAGCGTTTGTTGTACTTCATGTTTGCTTTCTCGGACTGCCAAAATATCATCACTCAGACAATCGTATTCAGAGGATACTTCTTGCTGAGAATAGCATATTCCCCCAAGAGTATGCACAACATGACTTCACTCTGAGGTCATGCTGCTTAGTTTGTATGCAGATGCACGTGGTAGGAAGAGCGTGAAACACTGAAATCGTTTATCTGGGGCTCTAGGGAACGTGTGTTCCCCACTTCCTGACTCCCGGATTAGGGCTCAGGTTCTATTTCGGATTTACAATTCAGGGTGTGGTTGGAAGGTTTGATTTATTCTTAGGATACAGCCCGAGCTTCTGATGTATCGTCTTCGGGGCTGAGCTTACTCGAAGCGCCGCAGGTGTCCTGCGCGTACAGTATCTACTGGCCATCTCAGGGCTGTCAATTGAAACGGGACCAGCTTTTGCAAGGTCCGCGCCAGAGAGAGTCCCGCGGAGAAGGCGGCGAGGAAAGCACGGCAGGGCGAAACGTCTCCAGGACCACCTGCTGCACAGGAGGCCCAGGGGTCCTTCCAGGTGGCTCTTGTTAATGGGGAGTTCTCAGTTTACTTGGCGCAAGATGAATCAGGGCGCCTTATGGTTCCGAAAAAGTCCCTGATGTGTTCTTTTAGTCCCTGCAGTATACCCTTACTTGAAAGACCCTCCAGTAGGAAACAAAGGACAGTTTAGGGACAGGGTTTATGGCGTTCAACGCGTCTCGGCATCAGGGAAGAGGGACTTGGTCGCAAAGATGCTGTCATGGGATTTTTTTCATTTCCTACTAACAAGACGTGAGTTCCGCTTCTCACGACTCGCTTTAGTGCTGTTTAGTGCTGTCTCGCTGTGAGAATTGTGCCTCAGGATGTCTTTAGTGTTAGAGGTACAGTATCTGGTAGTTTGACTTGGCTTCTGTCAAGCTAGCAGGCAGCTGCAGTACGGGCTTTTGAAGTCTAGACCGGAAGAGAGCTGCCTAAGTCTGTGAGCGCTGAGCAGTGTAGCTGATTGAATACTTTCCCCAGCAGGCTTCCCAGCGCTCTCTAAGATTATCCTGCTACCTCAGCTTGCACCAAAGAACATGGAAAGCAGTTCAGGCTTTGCCCCTCAAGTCTAGCCTTAGGCTGAGTGTTGCGTGCCACCAGGCCTTCGGCGGTGCTGCCCCATCTGAGGAGGTACCCTATAAGCTAAAGACACCGGGCTTCTTGAGATGGATCCTTTCTGGGTCTCAGGTGATTCTAGTTTGGTGGGGTGAAATTGTCAGAAGCCCCGCATGTAGGACTGTGTGGAGTTTCGGGCTTACACGGAAAATTTTGACAAGCCGGTAGCCAGTTTGCGATGCTTCTCGAAAGGTGCAACATAGTCGACCGGATCGGCCATACAAAAACAATCTCTTCAAGCCGACTCACTTCTGGCTCATCGCTGGAAAGGGCACAAGGTTTGAAGGCTCAAGCACCGCTATTCCAGGCAATGATTGGGACTGTCCGATCATGAGGCTCCTTAACGTCGCGGCCCGAAGAAATGAGACTGTAAGTTCGCGGCTTTCTTGCAGCTCCCAACAAAAGCAACGCAACCTGAGCGGAAGTCAAACCCGAAATGCCTAGGAAGCCAAGCTATTGAAAGCCTACTGGGACGTCCGAGGCTCTTAGGCCCATGCCTGAAGTGCAACTCTGTAGTAACAAATTCGCCCAAAGTGTTCAGCCAATGTCTCGCAGCCTATTCACAGGATTTGAACGTAATGCTGTGCGTGCCCTGAGCCCTCATGCCCCACCTTCAGACCATGGTGCCAAAGCATTACACCCACAAGTGGATGAGGCCCAGGAGGCTTCACCCAGTGCAGCGAAGCCAAGGCTTGTTGAGAAGTTACTTTGGCATCTTTAGGTGGGCATGTTGCAGGGATCATATTGGGCCTATGGGATTGTGCAGGGCTTGTCCGGGGACTGTAAAGGGCTTGTTAAGGCAATGCAGGGTCTAGGATCGGTTGGGGGGTTCTGTTTTGTTTGAAATCATGGGAACCGCAAAGCCTTGTGTGATCTCAAACTCCGGCTGGACAACCAAATATCCTGGCTTGTTGTGTAGGCTTCAGGCATGCCTATGGTTCACCAGCATTGGCCCTCAAGGCATCCATTCTTTGAAAGCTTCTTGAACCATAGGGTCGAGGGCTGTTTCTCAGGGGGGTTTAAGGGGGCATAAAGTCTGGCAGTACCCCTGCAGCACTCTGCTTTCAAGGAAGGATCCCGTGCATCTACGAAAAACAGCCCAAGCCTATACACACACAAGCCACGTCACACTCTTGACAACTGGGATGAACATGGGGTTGAAGACTGGTTAGGAAGAAGTAGGACAGCCCTGGGCTGCAACCATCATTTTCAAGATTATTTGTAGCGTTTCCGCTGGCGACCCCCGGCAACGCGAGACTCCTCACTTACTTGGCTTTGCTTCAAAACTTTTTCAAATCGTGTCTGTACTACAGTTTAGACAGACTGCCGAGTTTAGAAGGAGCCCTGTGGAGCCCCTGGCGCCGCCGGTGCTGTTGGAGAAGGAGGTTTACCGCAGCGGGCGAAGCGGGTCAAGGGAGATGAATCAGGGGCGCTCCGGGGATCCAGAGGCTATGATGTTTTCAGGCTTTGGCCAGGCCTGGTGCTCATGTTGGCCATGTTCCCGGCTGTATGGATCGATGGCTTTGCCGCAGGAGACTCCGGAGAGCAAGGCCCCGGCGGCAAGCGCTGCCCCAGCCAGCGCCTGAATTCAGCGTGTGAAAGAATTTGATGCGTGGCGGTTCAGGATGAGTTTGGCATCAGCCGAAAAGGAAGCCCAAACAAGTGCAACGGGGTTGCCGCCCTTGCTTTCTCAAGTTGCGGCGAACAAAATGGCTGCCCAAAAGAGGGCCAATGTCCTGGGCTTATTCGCTGCCTCAATCTTTCTAGACAGTGCCCAACTTTCCTCCAGAAAGCCAGCAGAACCCAGCAGATCGACAGACACATAGATTGATAGAAGTCTAGCAATTTCGCTCGTCGGCCCTTCACAGCTGTTGGGTCCTGGATCTTCATATAAATAAACAGACACAAACGGATATATATATATATGTATATGTGTTTATGCGTAGGCATATCTATCTATCTATCTATCTATCTATATATCTACTTATTTGAAATAGATTTTCTTTTACAGGGGCTTGGCGGACAAGCAAAATACTTGTGTGCCTCAGGCCTAAACTTCGAACCAACAACCTGAGTCTCAAGCTACGGGTGCATCTCGACGTCCCCAATGATCCTATACATCCCTATATGTAGCTAGGGGTCCTGAAGAATCCCCGATGTCAGACTCAGGCAGACATCGATGTGACCGTGGCCTGTGAGGCGGACGATGAGAAGCTCCCGCCTGACCAGGAGGCTTGACGGGTTTAGGGTCTATAGGGTATGGAGGGCTTTGGATCATTTTCTCCGAAGCCAGGGTGGGTAGGAGATTTTGTAAATGTTACGCGATCTGGGGGTCCTTGTTGGCCGTGGGTGAAACTCACCGTTATCGTCAAGTGGTAAAGGTGGTTGTTCAATGAGTGGAAAGATGTTAAAAACTTCTACCCTGAAATCTGAGACACCAGAACGATACCCCCAAACCTGCAGCACGATATCAGCACCCCACGCAAAGCCGAGCAGTGTTGATGCTGTAATTCAAAAAATCTACAGGCATGGCGCCCTCTGAATCTCCTTCCGGCCAAAAGCAGATGTTGAGGGGCTCTTGCAACAGAGCAAATATCGAACGCGCTAGATGCCATCTATATGAAGCATGAGTAACCTGCCAAGTCGTCAAAGGCTCTCGATGCACTCTGTGACGCGCTGAAGAGCGCTTTTATCTTTCCAAGAGAAGTCTTGCACAGTTATCCGCGAATGTTGAGGACTTTTTTTGGGGCTGCCCCAAATCACACGCTTAACAGTTGTTTAGAAATCACGTGAAGAGATTGATGCATGCATCATTGTGGAGAGTGCTTGAGGGGACCTTTCCTTGGAGAAACTCACACACTACAGCACCGACCGCATACCTGTGCGCTTTCTCGGAAGCTTCCTTTCTGTGCGCCGTCGTGAGTGTCTGATTTGCCGCGTTGAGATGCCTTTTCGTGTCCTTCTTGCTCCGTGAAAGCCACCGCATCTGCTGTTCGGCCTTGGGAGTTTGTGTGCTGTTGTTTAGGGTTTGCATGAAACATGTGGAGAGACGAGAGACATGGCATGGCCAGTCGTCAGCATGCTGTGGACCCGTGCTTTGCAGATTGAAGTCAGTTTAGGCCAAACCTGCAAAACAGACGCAGAGCAACGTTTCATGCTGGCCACTTACTCTAAGGAGCCCTTTGCAACCACTCAGCCAATTAGAGTTTTTGACTGCCACTCTGAAGCCAGCAGCGAAGCTGTCACAAAGCCTCAACCAAAACCTGTGTACCTAATCATGGGACTCAGTGATCCTGCCATGCAACGTGATGCCTGCTAACTGTGCTAGCAGCACGGCTGAACCCCCTGGAATCGGGTCGCCGAGAGGACCGCGACTTGGCAGCAGGATCATGTCGCCAAGCATCTTCACCTTGTTGCTCTTTTTGAGAGCCCTGTTTCAAAGGCCCACCAGAGAGCAGACATAGAAACACGAATGCCTTGCGTTTAGCGCTGGGCACCCTGATCCTTCAATCTGCTGAGGCTGGCATCTGCGGATCTATGCGGCTGAGTGATAGCGATTTGGAGGGAGGTTCGAATTGTTCGCGGACCTCATCACTCTCCAGCACTCGTAGCACTGAGAAGTCCAGGAAGGTGGCTTGGCAATCAGTAAGACGCCCAAGAGGGCGGCGTCCACCACCCTCTTCCCAAAAGTCAACTGACCTGTCAACGTCAAAACACTTAGGTCCCAAGCAACCGCAAGGCAGAGGCCAAGACAGGCCCGAAGACGACGGCTTTGGGCTTTGGGGGCTTCAAAGGTTCAGGCAAGGGCACGTGCTAGACGGGTGGTTCGTGGGCTCAAGCGCTGGGTATGGCGTTATGCTGTGAGAGCCCGAGGCAGTCGGGAATGCGGAATTGAGCTCTTGAGGATTAGGGTCTGCAGATGGTTCAGGCTTGAGGGATGAGTGTGGGCTCCAGATGCCAGTGCTGAATAGGGGCTTTTCTTGTCGAATTGGGGGCGGGCGCCAGTCAGGAGCTGTAGCTGTGGAACTATGGTATGCGTGCTTCACATAAGGGCCACTTGGGCATGTGCCCAAATTAGGTCTGAATATGACCCGCTCAAGTCATTTGATATGAGCCAAAGATACTGCCTTTATTATGGACAATGAACACCATTTGATTCCCTTGGTCAGTTGGTATTCTCGCAAACTTGAGTGTGAGGTGGAGCCTAAGCCCAGTGCCTACACGCTTTTCGGGACCCGCTTCTTTCATTTGGTAAGTTGGCAGAAGGGAGCAGGGTATTGGGGTGGGGGGCTTACACTCAAGTACTGGCAAGAGGGCAATCCTTTGGGTCAGGCGGGGATGAATCACCATCGCCGACCAACAGCCCAAAGAAAAAGGGAAAGCCACTGGGCTGACTTGCTTTAGATATGGGGGGATGATCTGGAGTTCGAGGGCTCTTTTGTGACGGAGACATGGAACAGAAACCGCCTCGACTGAACCGTTTGCGTTGTAGGATTCAGGATCATGCTGTGGCTGTGGGATTTAGGATGCAGGGTTTGAGATGCAGATTGATGCGGTTATGAGCTTCGGATCCAGCTGCCGGATTGAAAGATTTTGGGTTGTGGGACGGGACGTTTGGCTTTCGGATCTGCTCCTTGGTATTTACTAGTAGGAGTCCGGATCTCGAGTTGTCGGGCTGGACAGAGATAGCGAATGTGTCTGGTGCTAAGACAAAGGCTTCTAGAAACCATGAGGCTGCGGTAGTGCAGTGGGCTGCATCGGCCGTTGTGTGAAGGCTCTTGCAAGCAACAGCTGTGGCACCTTGGACTCGAGACTTGTTCACTCTGCTGTAGGGTTTACTCCGTATGCAGTATGCCATTGCATAGTCGGTTGCACTCGTCATCTGCGGCTGCCTTGCAAACGTGTGATTGTGATCCAGATTTCGTGATTGTAGCGTTGAGTGTTCAGGGCGGTGCTGAGAAGGTTTTTGGTGCTCGAGGCCAATGCTCATAATGTTGTGTCTTGAAAAGCTGCAATCTTATGCTCATTGGACAAGAAAGCCCCCCCCAACGTCCCTGATGCCTGTCTTTTAAGTTAGAGGTCGCTGCTTACCGTATTTCAAGTAATGCCTAAGCAGTGATCAAGAATGACTTTGCATGCCATCCTGCCAGAGCCTGGTAGATTGCTGATATCTCCCCACCTGCCCTGATGGCAAATATTCCCCGTACAGTATTTTCTGGCAAATTGTGGGGTGGCAGGTTTCATTCTCAGGAGAGGGGTTATTAGAACGTTATGTTTGTAGTCTTCTTTTTATGGCTGTTTCTCAAAGTGATGGTGTAGGAGAACCCCAGCAGGCATGTTGAGCTGCTGACGGAACCATACTATAAACCCATTGCCAAACATCCTCCGCAACTCACATTTCATCTCCGTGTCCAAGCTGCGATATCGCAACATATCGTACCCATGAATTGTCATGGGGGATGATGCAAGGCCTGCGCAATCCCTTCTCCTGTTCAAGCTCAGAAGCTCCCGAAAGACTCTCGCACTTCTCAGAGTAAACTCTGTTGGGATCTGGAGGCGCACAGTTCTCAAGGAGCAGAGCGGAGCAGGAGCTTTGACCATAGACGCCTGGCGGAAGCCTTGTTGTAGAGTCTAGGGTTTGCATGAATTTGCTTACCCAAATTTGAGAAAGCTCCCTGAAGTCGGATTCTTTCCTAATTACTTGCCTTGTTAGGCCCTCCGTGTTTCAGGCCGACTCTGGTTACAGGATCCAAGACGTTTCCTGTGGTGAGGAAGCACAAAAAGAGCTCGCACGATCGAGGATGATAGTCTTTCTGTTCTTGTTGATTTAGTTAGATTAAGAAGTAACCGCCAAATCTGGTGACAAGCCACTACCTGGAGTCCCGAGCTCATTGCTCGTTCCGGACGCCCGTCTTCCAACACTTCTTGTTTGCTAGTGCCTTGCATTGGATAAGAGGCCCTGCGGCTTGCCCTCAACCAAACTTCCATTTTGCCTGCACTGGTCAAGGACAGTCCGCTGCAACATTTTTTCGATGCGCGGCTCATCATGCGGCCAGATTCCGTTTTCAAAGCCTCGCGGCATCAGCTTTAGCCCCAAATGCCTGAAAACTCCATCCCGCTCGGAAATTCCTTTGCCCAGAGGAAAGGTTCACTGTACAGAATCTTGCATTCCAAACCCTACGCGCTGTGAGCCATGGCCACCTAATATGGGGGGGTTTCCATATAGCTGGCGCCCGCTTTGTTGGAGGTACCAATAACGAAGATTGTAATATATTGAGGGTCTATTTGGGGCCCTTCGTGCTATGGAACCCATATCCCCTGGAATCACCGAAACGGGATTTGTTTTCTGAGGTGAGCTCTGACGAGGTTCTGTCCTATGTAGTGCAGGAGCCATGGCTTCTTTTGGAGTCTTAGGGTTTAGGACTTGTGGTTAGTGTAGAGTTTAGGGTTTAGAGTTGAGGGGCAGAACGCGCCATGTCTCGAAGAGCACTCAAAAACAAGAACGACAGCTAAAACAACAAAAGAGGCAGCAACAGCACTAGGAACGCAAGCAAGGAGCTGCACCAAAAATGCCTGGGTGCCTGTGTGGTGGAGTTTGCAGATGGTCGGCTCGAGTTCTTCGATTGCTCAGACTTCAACTCCTTTCTTGCTGCTGGGACACCGCTCAGCATGTCTTAAACTTTTGGTTCTCTTCTTCAACTACGAATTCAGGACCCTCCACGGCCCAATGACATTAGAGTTAGCACATCAAGCCGAGCACGAGAATACCTCCCATAAACTAACCTGGAGCCTCACATACAACCATTTTAAGAGGACGGTTCTTTGTATTTGAAGCCCTTCTTGGGGGAGGGTGTAATTTTGCCCGGCTTTTCAACATGCCAAAAGAAGTCACTGGCAAGGTGAGCGCCCTGGCCAAGAGCAGGGTGGCCATGGGAGAAGATGCGGACCCAGAACCGGGGCTGGATTAGAAAATTGGTTCCGAGTTTGGAGCAACAAATCTGCATGCAATCCGTGCAACTGAGCACTACTGCAAGTTGAGTTTTTGAAGATCATAACCCGCTGCACTTTCTATCTACTACTGGAAATCGCATCGTTCAACACCTCTCTGAGCCCTGGGTTAGGAAACGGAGTGGAGAGCTACCAAGTCACTGCTTCGGAAGATGGCGAATCTTCCAGTGCGGTCCCTGCTGAAGCCAGGCGGAATGTCACGTTCTCGCAGTGTTTTGGGTTAAGGGTGCAGTCCCCTTATAGATATCTGTATACCTGGGGCCCTATGTGCAAGGACCTCAGTTGCAAGAAACGCCAAAGTTGGGGCAACTACTTCGACGCGCTCGGTACTGTAGTTACAAGTGGACAGAAGTAGGAGAAGGGTGCTTGACTCGAAGGTTTTTTTGCGAGTGCAGCGCAGTCGTTTGCATCCGAAGGCGACCACAACTTTTTTGTTTGGAGGGCGCAGGGTCGAGCATCAGAAAGCTATGGATTCGTGCTCTGCAAGAAGCACACCCTGGCCACGCTTCATTCATAGTGTGCAACGGTCTTGCATAGCAATGGGTTTTGGCAACAAAAGAAGCGTGCAGAACCCTCAGCAAAGCGCCTTCTCACTATACAGGAAGAGCAGAGTTGGCTATCGTTGCTTGCGACACATACAAGCTTAGATAAGATCGAGCCAAGCCATCAGTCACGCTCTACAACCCAACCCCAAGCTCACCTCAGTGTCTGTACCGTGTTATCTGGACTAGAGGACCCCAGGCTATTAAAACAAACCCCCAGTTCAGCAAGATTCAGCCCTCAAAGAAGTGCTACTCGTCATCTGCGAAGGGGATCCCACTTGTCGGGCTCCTGAACCAAGGAAGACGCCTCGCAGCCCTGGCCTTGTTTTCGAGCCTTTCGACTCGTCCCTGCCTCTCCGGGAGCTGGTGGACAGATTGGAAAGGTGGCTTGGGGTGGCTCCGCGTAGGTTTGTGGGATGAGCAGTTTCCAGAGCTTCGGGTGTGGACGAGTGGGCTCATGTCATCGGGTCAAAGGCTCATGAGTCCAGACTAGACTAAACTCAGCAGCTTAAGTTTCATCGCGGCCGAGGAGTGCCTTTTCTGAGTTGTGACCATTCTATCATCCGTTTCATCATCGCACCGGTGTTTAGCAGGGCATTTGGGCAAGCTGGGTGTCATCTTCTTTATCATTCTCTGGCTCACAACATATCTGGATGCGCTTTTCTTTATGGCCCGATGCTTTTTGGCTTGCTCAAGGTGAACCCAAGTCCGTGCATGTTGTGGTGTGGCAGAGTAGATCAGTCGAGTCAAAAGCAAGTCCACCTTTTGCGACGTTCTGCTACGTAAGTGCTCGGATCAGGCAGCGGCGGGTGCCGTGTTTTGCCGCTGGCGAGCTTTGGGCAGTTGCGTGTCTGCATGTACGGCGTCGTTCCTCATGCCAGTTCAGTTTCAATCGATGCTGAAATTGGATGAAGGAGATGGTGCAAGGTATCCTTCGGACAGGGTCGGGGTGGACTTCCCTAAGACCCGTAAGGCAGCCCCAGGGCAGGTCACCCCCCATGCCATGCGTTAAGTTCCTTGCGTTGCTTCTTGGTCCTGAGGTCTCACTGTACTTCAAGAGACCAGAAAAGCACCGTTCCAATTTGCTCCAGACGGTAGCGACCTTAGCCCAGGTTGTGACAGCCAACGACATCCTCGAGCTTTGCGGTGGCTGCGTGACGAAGTCTTCCAAGGAAATCTTGGAAAACATGACCCTCAGGACTGGCTCAAAAGTCTCAATCTGTCAATGGAGAACCAAAGGGAAAAGAACATGGAACATGACATGGACAACAGAGTTTATAGATGCTTCATGGGGACAATAATTAGGCGGTGTGGTGCCCCGCATGGATGGCAAAAGTTTCACAGTTCGTGGAAAGCACGGAGCCCCAGAGCCTTGTCAGCAAACAGGGTATCACGAGCAAAACCAGTTGAGCCTTGTGGATACTGTAAGCTTCCCAGCTCTGTGACGTAGCCCATCAGTAGAACTGTTGCTGTTGCTCTTCCACTCTTCATCCATTCTCTTGCAGCTGTTTAATTCGATGCTATAGGTGCTACAGTGACCGGTCCCAGCATGTCGCCTTGCTTATGCCAGTGCAGAAGATTCGGGAGGAGCATCTTGTCTAAAGAGCTCAGCGATTTCGAGCTCGACACTACAGAGGACACGGCTGCGCTTGAAGTAATGCAGAAGTCTCCTGGCTGCAGCCGTGGCAGGTATCTGGAGTCTACAGAGCAACTGATCAAATTGCCATGAATCTACAGGGGTCCACTCCTTGTTGCGATGCTGACAGGGAGGGCCCTCAGGTTAGGCTACAGTGACAGTCGCTGTACCAGGTCCACGTGTAGCTTGCTTTCACTTGCTGCAGGCTCCTCAATTCCTCGGGCCGAGCAGTACCAGTTCTTGCTCAGCCGGATGCACCTTCGCCAAGCTACAGGAAGGGATTTTTGAGAGCCTGGTAGTCAACGCGATGATCATCCTTACCATATTATGCTGTGGGCAGATTATGGGAACCTCACCCTTACCCCAAATGGTGGCGACCTCACCCAGGCGCTACTACCGCAAGTGCTGGCATACCTCGTGATACTACTGTTGATGTTGTCGTTCTTCTTATTGTTGCTGTCGGCATCGCTGTCATGTTCTGGGCACTGCCCCTCCCCAAGAATCTCACTGGATATCGACCCAATCCCTAAACCCTAGACTCCTTGGACGGAAGTCCCAAACTTTATTGTGCTATTCATGTTGATGCTAGTATACCGCTCACGGCTTCTGGTGCCGTGATCATTGCCAGCCCTCGTGCTCTCGTCAAGAACCAAAAGTCAGAACAGATCGCAGGAAAACACCTGCCTGCTAAATGGCGATCCACTTGTGCTTCATATTCCTGAGAGTGAACGGGTTACCACTGCTCAGGGCATTATGGCTGCCACTGCTGTCCAAGTGGGTCTTTAATGTTTCCTGCCAAGCCGATGTTGGGTGTGTTCTGTACCTTTGAAGGTTCACCTCCTGTGCTCCAGGTGCCGCCGCTAGCTGGGACTTTCCCAATACAGATCCAACAAAACCTGGAGCGGGTTCCCCGCTTACTCCATCAGTATTCCCCACGTGTCTCTCATGTCCCTAAGGGCCTGCCAGTTTTGAAAAACACCCAGTTCATGAATTGCAGGACGTCGGGGCGGATCCGAATTCTAGCTCAATTCGATCTGGCAGTTCCCTGGCCTGCATGTGCTGGGCAGGCTTGTAGCACTCAACTCAAACAGGGCCGTCCTGTGGCCTTCTTCCTCTTAGCCCCAAGCTGCGTAGTTGCTGGAGGATTGCATACAAGAGCCTTGACGCATCGCGGGGTACTCTCAAATCCCATGTTGAGCACATACAGTATTGAGAACCGTGGATTGTTTTGTTTTGCAGCCAAGGCCCTGTGGACCGTTTTTGGATATAAGGATGACTCTGACCTGTGGTGGTGGGAGAGTGAAGATGTTACATCCAACATCTTCCTCCACTCTTGTGTCGATTTTTTGGCATTCGGCCGCAAGAACTCTGATGGCAGGGACCAGGCGCCTGTGGCAAAAGTCTCACTGGATGAGAAGCTGTCCAAAGTGATCGGACGCGCCTGTACCAGCCCCTTCCGGCACGTGGTCGTCTATGAGGAGGCCAACGACCGGCAACTCAGAAATCCTTGCCCTTTGATCTGCAGAAAGTATCGGCCTTTGGAAAAATCATGCCTCTATGCCAGGCAATATAACATAATATACCATAACATAATTACTATCATATAACATAAAATAGTATATTATAAGATAGTATATAACATACTATACAGAGCCTGCCTCTCCTGCGAGCTCTACAGACAGTCTCCTTAGATCGGTTACATGTTCCCAAGAGACTCCACATGGCATCCTATCATTCGACATAGGGGTGACCCCTTTACAGAGGATTAGAATCTTTGTAATGAAGTCGAAAACAGATTCCGTAATTCTGAGACAGCCCTCAAGGAGGCTCATTGTGCTGGTCAGTCAGTTATTTTGGAGTAATGCAATCGAAGGCTTGGACGCCGCGGGATCCCTAAGCTCTTGCCAGCATAAAACTAGCTCCCAAACTCTGAGCTGTGAAGTCCAAGGCTGTGAGATATCCTCTCACGAGTTTGTGCAGTCACTATGCGGCGCTGGACTCCTGTCACAACTGGACTTCAACAGCTGCAAACCACGGCCCGCCCGCGACTCGCAGAACAAATGAAGAGCGAGGATTACTTCCTATGGGGGTTTGGAGTTTGTAGAAAAGGTGAAGCTTTATTTCTGGTGATGTTTCGCAGGCCTGCTCCTGCTCGTAAGCGGGTCAGCACCATCTGTACATCCGGACCCGACAGCCAATTTTTCCACTTCTCATAGCCTTGATGTCAACCGAGAGCCAGAATCCTAGGGAGAGAGATCGGGGACACTCACCAGTACGAGTAGCATATGCCCTGCTGGGTGACGTTGCTGTATTAGACTAGACTTCCAGCTCCCGAGGTCAATGACACTTGCAGTCATGCAGGAGCCTTGTCAATGATGGGGGTCCATAGCATCATCCTACATGCGCTCAGACGCACCGCCTAATCACAAACTATCAGGTTTCCGCCGGATGTTTTCCAGTCATGCTGGCATCACCTCCGACTCCATGTCGAAGGACGGCGCGGGAGGCTTCTATTGTGTCAAAGCCCCGTCTGAAGTACAAGGCGGACTTGGGTACAGTGCAGAGGACCAGACAGAATTCAATATAGGACCTGAATATAGATTTCGTAGCAGATCATTCTTACGACATGCCTTTGGTGCGTACAGCATGATCTACTCTCAAACGCTATTGTCGCTGTTTTATGGCTCTGAGACACGATTTCTATAGGACTTAAATGGTGCAAAGATCACTCCAGGCTTCCTTGCTTCAGGGTATGGCGCTAAGGTTGCACCATGCCGTTTGGAACCGTGTGCCCTGCACCCAAGCCCACCCCGCTCAAGTAGGGAGGGTTTGGGGGCAAAAGGAGAGCTCGGCAATGTCTCCAACGGCGCAGAAGGACCACCCGGATTGGGCTTGGCAGGTAATCCTTCTAGGGTAGTGGGGACAAAAGGGAAGACAAGGTGGAAAGCTTCCCAGACATGGCAATATTTAGTCCCTTTCTGGAGTCCTTGTGCTAGGTTTCTTTTGGTACTGCCAGCATGTGTGAATTCCATGAGCACGCGACCGGCCAGGATCCGGGTGGACCCCCAGGAACTGTCAGCTTCAACAACATGGTGGAAGTGGAAGCTTTGGTGGGCTTTCTGAAAAATTGGATGTCAAAATGCATGGTGACAGGTGGTTTAGGGCACACAGATTTCTTTCGTGTTTTCTGCCTTGATGTTTGAACCTTGTGCGGCAAGGCGAAGCCCGTAATTGATTCACTGATTCACGCAGAAAGCAGACTTTCTTGCCAGATCATGGCAGTGTCTCCTTTTTTCATTTAGGCCTCACGCACATGAGGGAGTTTCTATTTTTAAAACAACCATCTTCGTGCGAACTTCTAGCCAGGTAGTCCCAGTCTGCCCAGTTCACCATGGGAAGTTCATGCAGCGCCTGGGTTTGAAATTGGAAGTAGTTTTCTTGTCTTCCCTCTTTAAGGGATCGACAAAAAGGGTAAACAAATCTGTTTTGATCGATACACGGGATCCTCTTGTGCAGGGTTTGTATTGAGCATCCCCCCATTTGCCCCCACAAGCTTGAGCAACCCAGTAAGCAATCATAACAGGGAGGAGCATGTGACCGTGGAGACCCTGTTACTTGAGAACATGATGCCTGTGTACTATCCTGTAGCAACAACCAGCCACAGTGTATGATGCAAATAACCCTCTACCTACTGTTCTTGTAGGTGCTTCAGAGCACCGAGCTCTACACGCTGAATCCTATACTTGGAGGTTCTGAGGACCTCAAGGAATAGGCTCATCATGGGGATCATTTGGATTACTACAGCTTATATCATCTATAAGCTATTGTAGCCCCAATGATCCCCATTATGAGCCTATAAGTAGACTAAGTATACTTACTAAGACTTCTAAGTCCCGCCAGCCCTCCGAATTGGTTGCCAGAGAACTGAGGTACGAGGCTCTGAAGGAGCTTCTTGCCACTGGGCCAGCCAGGGTGGGGGTATATTATAGCATATTATAGTATATTATGGTATATTAAAACAGTATATGATGGTATACTTATTGGTAAATTATGAGATATTATGGGGATTATGGGAATATATGGGGGTTTATATTGGGATGATGGAAAATACAATGGGAACTACTATTTAGGGTTTAGGGTGTTGGGATTTGTATAGGGATTATATAGGGATTATGGGAATATATTGGGGGTCTAGAGGAATAATGGAAAAGAACATGGAAACTACTAATTAGGAATCACGGGATCCTTTCTCAAACAAGGGTGGGCTTCGAAGAGGGGACTACTACTCTCGACCTGGCGCTGCCAAAAAGACTGTAGAGTCGCTACCTTTTGCCCACATGTGATGAGGAGCCTGTAGAAGCTGGCAACTGCTCTGTTCCCTCCGCTCGGAGCAAGCATGCCAGCCAAACTATTCCTATAAAACGCTGAGCTTGGTTTGTGGTTGGTAAGCCCGTCTGGACATTCCGAATCCTTCGTTGGTCAGCAGGACTCCTCTCTGATGCTCCCACGTATGTAGGCAGGGTTTGCAAAACAATGCCAGTTTTTAGGAGCGCAGTGTCCAATTTGTCTGTGCCTGTGCAAGCTATCATCTAGCCCAACGATATTGCGCTGGCATGTCGGACACAAAGTGGTCGTTGTCCACCTGTTTTCCAACTCGCAGCACCTTTCCAGGCGTTCCGCAGTCTGAGGGTCTTTGCTTTTAAGCTGTTGCTTCGGTCTTGTTTTCTGGCTTCTTCAACTTCTAGCGCCAAGCCCAGAGAAGCCCACACGAATCCTTCATGGGGCCAGGCAAGCCAATGCCCACAAAACTACGACGTGAAGCAACCCCACATCTGAGCTTGCAACAAGAGGACAGACGCATGAATTTCATTGCTTCGCTGCAGGCTTTTAAGCCCACTGGGACCGCAGTTCACACCTGAAACTGTGCATCCTCGTATTCCACATTGCATCCCAGGCAGATTTCCATAAGCTGAAGGAGCTAGCGCAGGACCACGATTCAGATTCAGCGGGGGAGGGATGGAAGCGCTGAGCTTAGCGTGGTCACTTGGTTGCATAGCTTGTATGAGTCTACGCTTGCCGTTTCAGCTTTCTAGTTGAGACTCCAGGGGTGTGAGGTCGCAAGGGTTCATGTGTGTCATCCCCTGAATGGAGATCCAGGCATCAATGCCTGCTTGGCAGGATCCTTCCACCTGTGTGGCCTCCTGTACAGCTTTCTGCAGGCCTGGTCACCTTCTCTTCACACTTTGCTAGTCTTTCCTCTGCCTGCAGGTCGTGCGCGAAATCATTTGGCAAAGTTCAGCGCCGCCCTCTCTCTGCAAGCCACTATAAGACTGCCATCAAGAAGGCCTGTTCGGTAGACTGGTTGGCATTACTGTCCTGTATGGGCATAAGTGATTGCCAGTCACTACTGCCCTGATTGGGTAGCGCTCTGTCGAGCATGCCAGCACAAAGGCGTACAAAGTGCCTGCAGCGATCGAATCTTCTGTGTTCCGAAGCATAAGCACTTAACCCATAACGAGAGACATTGACCACTATTGCCGACCTGATGGAGCTCTGCAAAGCTAACAAGCTTCCCTGGAAGATGATAGCCACACCGACGAATCTGGCACAGTGGATTTTGGAAGTACCCGTAACGTAGCTTGGGGCTTGTATGTCTGACAGAGCCCATCAACATTGCTGGAACCACAAGAACCCTCTTCAGGGGACCCTTTAAGCAGACATTGCGCGTGTTCACAGGGAGGATAGGGCTCCAGTCTTGAGGTTCTGGCCGCCCGTTTTCATACCAGATGGACACGCAATAGTTTACGCCCTTAAGGACCATTGTGTCCCCACCCACCCAATACTCTATTTGAAATGGAACTGCACCAAAGGATGGGTTGATTGGGGATGGTTCTATGAAGATTTGAGCCTTGGAGCAGTTCAGGGGCACAGCCGTTCAGCTTGGAGGACTGTACTTCTCCCCTGCCCAAAAATTTTCTGAACACCCAAAGTCCTAGACTCCTGAACACCAATTGAGACTCTTGCAAGTTCGTGCAATGCCCTGCGCAGTTGCCTGGTCGCAGCTGCCTGCGGCTTCTTCGGGATCATGTGTCCAGCCGGGTTGCAGGCTGGAGTGGTAGAGATTAGTGTTCAAGGTCTCCACTTACCTGAAATCTCAAACATCTAATTCCTCACCCCCTCGCCGCGAATCGCGAGTACCCTGCCGCAAATTCCTATTCATACTGCTTGAACTCCCCAGCGCAGGGAAACTCTGACCTCTGCAGGCTCGTCCAAAATCACGGTCTCGCCCTTGAACGCCCTCCAATATTTTTCTGCCCTCCCCAAACAACCCATTTAAGAGCACAGTGGTTTTTTCTGGAGAGAGTAAACTTATGGGAGGATTCCCAAAGTCCCTAAACACACCCCAGTTTCGAGAACCCCCCCGCACTGTCGGACATTCTTCCATGCTCCGAGGGGGGCTGCGGCTGCCCGGCGTGAAGCAACGGCAGGTGAAGCCCCTGGATGCAGCCCCTCGACTGGATATTAGGAGGGTTCCTACTAACTTCTCTTAGGGACATTGCTCTGTTTTGGGGGTTTCTATAGATATCATAACGGGCTGCCTGGTGATAAATGTGGGGCTTCCCAACGTCATGGGTCAATTTTGGGGTTTGTTCTGTGATAGGATTTTGCTATGCTTGAGGTGTACCAGGGGCTGCTAACTTTCAGAGCTGCCCACCGAAGCTTCCAAGTATGGGCCCCTAATTCAGGCCCAGTGTGCTGGATCCATGGTTTCAAAGGCTTAAAAAGCTGAGCATGGTGCGTGATTCGTGGTTCCTTGTGTAGGGGACTGGGTTCACGGAATTTAGCAATGAGGTGTTTGGATAGTAGGGGATGGGGTTAATGGATTGACGTTTGGTGTCCACGATTTGAGCATTGTGTCGTTTATCATGCGAGGGTTTAAGTTGAAGGGTGGAAAAAGAGTAGGGCAAGCAATGGCCGGACATCTCGACATGCGAGCTGGGATTTAAGGTGGATCGCCGCCAACCTACTTTCCCGAGCGAGTAAGAGATCTGCTAACACTGACGATGTAAATTATCGACTTTGCTGCTTGATGCAGAATGGGACATAATGTTTAGACCTTGACATTCAGCATTCAGAGGAGGATCAGGAATTTGGGGCTGCGGCCTTTGGTCTAGGCCTCTCCAAAATGCAGGGTTCATAAGAAGCATTGGGCAACTGTGCGGTATCACCACGTCTATAAGAACCCTTTCGATGGTACCTCTTTGAAATTGTCCACTTCAACGGCAGGCCCCGGGTCGAGCCCACTCCTCCTGGTTTTCCTCCTTTTGCTGTAGCTGCAGCATGGCTGCTGCCCCTCGGGCCTTGCTTTATCTGTAGGCGAAGGGTGATGGTAGGTAGGGGTTTACACTTAGCCTGGAAATCGGGGTGTAGGATTCAGAGTTCAGGTTTCAGGTTGTAGGGTGCTGGGTGGGGGGTCTGGAGCATTGAGGTAGGACTTAGGAGGCGGGCTTTTGGGTCAGGTCACGGGATATTGTTGGCATGTCTAGGTTTGAAAGTATCCTGCTTGTTTCACATTGTTCCCATTAAGGGTTCAGATTTGCATGAATCTCAAGGATCACTCGAAATATTTTCTTGCGGTCTTTCTGAATCAGGTACCGAGGACGGTGCGAGCTTGATGTCAACGTACGACTCTAGTAAGCTCGTGATGAGTCGTTTCATGCACCGCACGTATTCGGATCTGCATGCCCAGAAGGACGATCCTTACATGATTCCAGAAACCTCTTTCTAGTACCATATAGTCACTATGTAATCCCAACCTTGTTCCTCAGATTGTCCAAACTACTGCAAGAATCCGTTGGAAAAGACATAACCCTAGCTAGATGCCCCCGCAACCTCAACAATGAAACCAGTGCCAAGGATCGGACGAAAGTGTCAGCAAGCTAATGACTGCACTGAGCGCCGTCTTCAAGCTGACTTGACTCGCTCAGGGCTAGAGGTAGCTTAATAATACTGTAGAAGTCATAGTCATAGTAGTCTAGTAGCAGCAGCAGAAGAAGTAGTATTAATGGTAGCAATAGTGGTAACAATAGTAGTACTAGTAGTAACGGTTGTCACAATAGTAATTGTAGTAATGGTAGGAATGGTAGTAATGGTAGTAATCGTAGTAATAGTAATAGTAGTAATAATAGTAATAGCAGTAATAGCAGGGATAGTAGCAACAGGAGTAATGGCAGTAATAGGAGTAGATAGGAGCAATAGGTCATAGTGACAGTAGCAGCGGCAGAAATAGTGTCAATAATGGTAATACAAATATTCATGCTAGAGCTCAGGAATCCTTTCTTCCTCTACTTGACCAGTCCTTATACCCAACAACTCCATAAGGCAGGTTCCAGAGGGGCTAGAGGTTCTACTCCATCCGCACCAGTGTTTTCAGGGTGAATTCAGAGTTTATCTTCGTAGGCGCACAAACATTTCGGTCTAGGGCAATTGTCTCGTTGCTGGAAATCTGTTGCCAGGGATTGGCAATCTAAACGCGCGTCTGCAGCGAGGATACCAGAATGAACGACGAGCGCTCGCTGAATTAGATCCTAGACCAGGTCTAATGACTTTGTCATCAGCCTGTGGTAGCGCAAATGGTCCGCCTCAACTTGAACTGGTTGCCTAGTCCTCCAGTACTAAGACCCAGCATGTCACCCCGAAATTGTGTTGGGTTACTGTTCGAGGATCATAAGGCGGCGTCTACAAGATCCCAACAGTCCCACCTGTGTATCCTCAAGTAAGAGCTGTTAACACTGATAGGCGTATTCTTTCAGAGAAGGCGTCATGTTTAGAAGTGCTCCTCCTTTTGTTGTAGTCGTACTGCTAGCATTGTTGATTTGTTGGTGGACGCATCCTGCATTACGACTAAATCCGGGAGCGTACATGTAGTCATACAGTATGCAAAGTTTCATGCAAGATCCTGTCCATCATCAGCAATGCAGTCATGCTGCCGATGCTGCTGGTGCTGCTACAGCTGTTGTGATTAGTGATGCTGCCGCTTCTGCGTAAGACGCCGACACGCAGGCCGAAACTGACAACCCGTTTGTGGCTATCCCACCACCTGCTACAAGCTAAAATGCTTGTTAAACTCATTTCGCCCTTTTCTGACTGCAACATGGGCATATACTGTCTACCCCAGAACCCTATCCAAAATTGTTAAGGCCTTCGCAGTAGTTTTGTTGCTGTGCTTCCAAGGCCCTAACCTCGTGATTGCAGCCCCGTAACCCATAATTTCATCGACTTAAGCCATGATCTCTGAAGGAGAGCCGCTAATTCCTGATAGTATCGGCAGTACGTTTACGACCCAAATAGCATCGTGGAGTCATCTATGGTTTGTGAGGTTTTCTCACAGGCGGCAGTGATGGTTAAATGTGATGCTGATATTCGAGTTGAGGAGCCTGGCAGTTTTACACAACATTTTGCCTTGTCCAGGAATGAGGGGAGCTAATTTCGAGAAACGGCTCCTTTAGGTCAGTGACAGTGATTGCTGTTGCCATTCTCATACGGCAGGTCCTTGCAACTTTTTGATTTCGCAGAATAAAGCTAGTCAGCACGACGCACCTCTGATTCTTGGAAGCTCATGTTTTGCCATCAGATGCAAGAGCTCAGCTTAGATCCCGAGATGGCAGTTGCGCCGGCAATGGAGTTTCTGTTCATCCCCTGCAAACACCCAGACCGTACAAACTTGGATCAGCAGAGGTTTGGGACTTCAGAATAATTATCTAGACTTGGTGTGTGTGAGGTTTAGAGTTTAGAGGTGAGGGCACTACAGCTGAAGTCGTGCATTCTAAACCCTAAGCCTCAAGTAGCCGGCGTTGGAAGTCATCCTTTAGCAGGTCCAGTACAGTGTACATGCTGACATCATAGGCCTGCAGAACATATTCTAAATTTTTACATTATATATTGCACTACACAATTGACTGAGCATGGGTTTCCATATGCTACCGGAGGGGGAGGTTCACGATCTGCATGAGTTTTTATGATTCAAAACCTAGGAATCAAATTATCTTCCCCAAAAACCAACTACTAGCCACAATCTCAAGCTGATTTTCTGTGTCTCCATTGCTCTGAGCTGTCTCTCGCGGTCGTTTTTTTGGGCCTCGGCCTGCACCCTCCCTTGAAGTCTCTGCGCAGCTCGGGCGCAGGTTGTGGCATTTCTGACCATCTAAACACAGAACTTTAAACTGAAACGGGTATCTAAAGGAGTCTGGAGGATTTTTTGAGAACTACGAGATGCTTCAGGGATGCCATGGACCGGAGCGAGCCGTGGGTAGCCTTGCATTTAGGGTAATATGCCCCCGCTCT